AGAAATATTTTTAAAGTTTCAGAACTCGCCATAGATTTAGAAATATTTTTTAAAGTTTCAGAAGCTCACCATAGTTTTAGAAATATTTTTTAAAGTTTCAGAAGTTCACCATAGTTTTAGAAATATTTTTAAAGTTTCAGAACTCGCCATAGTTTTAGAAATACTTTTTAAAGTTTCAGAAGCTCACCATAGTTTTAGAAATATTTTTAAAGTTTCAGAAGCTCACCATAGTTTTTAATATAGCATTGAAAGCATCGTTGAGTAGAATTAGCAGACTTAACGAAGATGAAATATTTTAAAATAAATCAGAAATTCTTTATTGAATTGCACGTTTTTATCCTCTAAATTTGAAATACTTTTAAAAAGAATTAATGTAAGTTTGAATTGCATGAAGAACTATTCATGAATGTTGTTGATTTTTCTTCTTCTTTGATATCCCGGTGCTGCTAGGAATGAACACACCATCCCGACTAACAGACAGCCAAAATTAATTAACACACGTTTTCATATTAATAATGCTTGTCATTACTTACATGTAAGGCAAATCTCGTTGAAATGCCAGGCATCCATTTCTCTGATTAGCCTATCACTGCCATCTGGTGAAGCTCGATCGTAATACAAATAACACGAAGAATCTCCGTATAATTTAGTTCTGACGTCACTAGGAGGCAGCCTGGTGCGTCGATCGTTGGAAACTACAGCACTTCTGAAACTGTTGCTCGATAAAAGTTTTCTTCCTTTCGTGTGTTCACTGTTGCTGACAACAACACTTTCCGTTTCACCTAGTTCCTTATGATCTAAAGCAGACCCACTTTCTGGATCGACAAACACTCCCGAGCGACGTCTACTGGGCATAAAGTCGAAAGACAAGCACTTCTGTATAGAAGTTGTGCTGTCCTCTTGACAGCGTCGAATACATTCCTCGAGCACTTTAATTGGCATATCTCTCTTGGTTATCTAATAGTTAACAATAACACTTTATCTAGTACATCTATCTTGGTTATCTAATAGTTAACAATAACACTTTATCTAGTACATCTATCTTGGTTATCTAATAGTTAACAATAACACTTTATCTAATACATCTATCTTGGTTATCTAATAGTTAACAATAACACTTTAACTGGCATATCTCTCTTGGTTATCTAATAGTTAACAATAACATTTTATCTAGTACATCTCTCTTGGTTATCTAATAGTTAACAATAACACTTTATCTAGTACATCTATCTTGTTATCTAATAGTTAACAATAACACTTTATCTAGTACATCTATCTTGGTTATCTAATAGTTAACAATAACACTTTATCTAGTACATCTATCTTAGTTATCTGTTAAAAACAAAACTTTAACTATAACATTTGGTTATGTAGTATTAACAATAAATAAAATGCATTATTTCATAACTTCACCTTCACTACAACCTCTTCATTAGTTTAAATGAATTTTGATACAACAGGGGAGAAAATCAATAGATGGGAAGCATAGTTTTCAAAGTTGTATATTTTTGTTTAACAGAAAGCAATTAACAATTTAAACAGATATTATCCAGAAAGTGGAATAAGGTGTTCATGGTTAAATAAAAAAACACTAATTAGTGATTTCTAATCATGTAACACTCCTTACAGTTCGGATGGGTTCTGAAATCAGCTGCTAGACACACTTTACAGTACAGGTAGGGTGTAACATTAATTATTGGATATCCTGTACAGTTCAGGTAGGGTGTAACATTAATTATTGGATACCCTGTACAGTTCAGGTAGGGTGTAACATTAATTATTGTATACACTGTACAGTTCAGGAAGGGTGTAACATTAATTATTGGATACACTTT